TATTATATATTATTTTAAATGATTCTTTTCAACAATAATTATAAAAATTTTTTTATATGAAAAGAATTTCTTATATTATAAAAAATAAAAATTTAAAAAAATTTTATCTAATATTAAAAATTCTCATTTCTTTTCATAATAATTTCATAGAAAGAATAAATATTTTCTTATAAAAAATATATATAATATAGGATAAATTTAGACAAATTTTAAAAAGAAAATTTTAATTCAATTCCAATTCTATCATTAGATTTTTAAAACGATATTACTTATTGGATAACTTAATACATGCATATTCTTACAGTATAAATATCATCTGTTATTTCTGTTCCAGCGACGATCCAGCTGGTCTTTGGATTTGTAGCAAAATATTCAACTGTATAATCGATTATCTTGCTAGCACCTTCATGTCCCGGACTCCAAGTGAGCGTGACCGTACTACTAGTAGTATTTACTATTCTTGGTTTACTTGGACTTTCGGGAAGTGCTGATACATCTGTTATGATGCTATGATAATTTGCTCCGGGACTAATCGTTAAACTAGCTATCCACGAAGTATTCCCAGATTCGGAAGATGCAACGCATTTATATATTCCACTGTCGCTTAATTGAAGATTTTTTATAGAAAGAGTGCCGTTGCTAGCGATTGTAAATTTATTATCGCTACCGATCCGTACAAGTTCGTCCTCTTTATACCATCGGATTTTTGGAGTAGGTCGTCCAAATACACGACATGGCATAGAAATATCACTCTTCGGAGGCAATGTTTGATTCGTAGGCCCGATCTCGATTACAGGTGGTGGAACTTCTTCAACCGATGTAACCTAATGAATATTTTATATCAATTATCATGACCTGGCGAATATCAAAAATAGAAAATTGAAAATTGGATCAATACGATTAATGATAATGAATTATATATCAAAGTATTCAATATGTTGAAATAATACCTGAAGAAAAACCGTAGCTGTGCTCGCACCAGCTTGACTGATTGCGCTGCAAACGTAGTGTCCTTCGTCTTTTCCAAGGACACCTTTTATATACAAACTTCCATCATCTGTGATTTTGTAACGACTTTGATATTCATTTCCAGGGAACATCAATTCTTGAGAACCTTCCCGAGTCCAAAAGATCGAAGGCTTTGGTGCACCACGAGCCGCACAGG